ACTGCAGTTGCAAAGCGTTTCGCCAGACGGATTCATTTATGCAAGATATGCACCGTATGAGTTTATTGGTTTCATTAATTCCATTTTGGTTTTTGCTTTGGATGCTAGAAAAGCAGCTCGGTTTGCTCGGTCCGGTTTGCGTCAGGGCAGCGAGCGGCCAGCAATTTTGGAGTCTCCAGTTTCAGGCTATATGGAGGATGGTCTGGCTTTGCCATCAGAAGTTCAAGCAGCTGAGCTTGGAGAGGTAGCGTGCTGTTTGGTGCAGCTAATGCATGATTTCTTTGTGTGTAAGCTGCATGTTTCCATATTTTTCCCTGTAGGTGAAGTTGCCGTGTCCAATGAATGATGCCCACAGAAGCAGAACAGACGTTGCTATCCAGGTGTAGAGTGGCGGTGGTTGTCCTGGGCAGTCAACTACCACCACGACTACTGCTACTACGACTCTAACTCCTACTCCTATATTCCTATACTCCGACTGTCAATGCTACTACTACTGCTCCTCGTACTCATACTGCTACTGGTATTGCTACTGCAACTGGTGCTACTGCAACTGGTGCTACTACTACTACTGCTACTGCTACTGCTACTACTACTACTACTACTACCATGATTGCCGCCATCACCACATATGAAGACCGCCGCTTGTAAATCATACGATTTGCTGTTGAGATCATGATTTTCGTACCATGTGTTTTTTCTAGCTCAAGTGGCACAAACCAGAAACGGACTTGTATTTGTTGGAAGCCTGCAGACTGGAAATGTCGCCGTGAGCGGCCAAACTTGGGCTGCAAACTTGGACTTGGTCTTGTTCTGCCATCAGAACTTCAAGCTTTTGAGAATGGAGAGGCTACCCAGTTGTGAATGTTGTATACATGTGCATGCATGTCCCGGACTCGTTTCTTCACATGTGTGATCACATGTTGGCTGTGAAGCCTTTTGCAGTTGACGGTTTGTATGCTTCAGGCACCATAATTGCGAGTTTTTTATGTTTCAGGATTTTCCCTACAAGCTGAGTCCAAGAGGGTTGAAACCTGCCGGGTCTCCTTGACCATGGAGTATTGTACATGGGTGATTTTGATCAAGCGTTTTGTCACTTACACCTCAGTGCAAAAGACTACAAAAGTAGTTCCAAACCCGGTGACACGGTGACACGATAAGAGTACAGGATTGCAATAACTAGGACTGGAGACTCCTACCGATTGTACAGTCCCGTAAAGAACTTGTAGGCGGAGCTGCCATCTCCGGCTGATGCTCGCAGAAGCAGCGCAGCGGCTATCCAGGTGTGGGCAGACCAAACAGAAAACTAACTGCTCTTCTAATCTATAGATGATGGTTCCAGCATGGTATCTTGTTGTATTTTGTCAGTATGATGGTCGGAGGTGGCTGGTGATCATGTAGCAGAGCATGCTGGAATTTGGGGCTACAAGGACGATGGCCTTGCCCGACTACCCAAAGTTGAATCACCTGGACATGGAGAGGTGCTGTATCAACCAACAGAGTGTCAGAAAGCCTTGTTTGGTGCAGGTGGGGTTTGGTATCCGGTATCCTAGATCTGCATCATGTTCTGTAGGTGGGCATTCGACCCCAAGTTGATGAAGCACGCAGAAACAGCGTAGCAGCTCCCAAGGTGCATGGGGACCACTTGTACTCTTTGAAGTGGCAATGGCAATATATTATATAATTATATATAGATACGTAGATAGAATATAGATAGATAGCTGTTTTTGCAGACTGAAATCAAGCTCCCCACCAATGTTGTTTATTTGGAGACACAGAGAGTGGCTAGATCCGCACAATTGCGAGGGGCTGCATGTTGAGTTGCAAAGGACATTGGTCTTGCTCTACCATCAGATGTTTGCAAGACCAGTCGAAGTGTTGAAAAGGCAAGCTGCAGACAGGGACAATGATATTATTGTGTGGCTTTACTGCTATACAGTGAATACAGTGGCAGCCTTGTGTGTGTGTTGGTTGCTTTTCACACAGCTGAAGTTGCAGGTTGGGCAATCATCGCAGATGGTCAGGTTGAGCAGCGCACATGTCAAGGCGCGGCGATGCAAACTGGACCTGTTTGGGCACCCTCCTGGCAGGTCAAAAGATGCAGGATTGAAACACGGATTCACACTGTGTAGATAATTTATATATCAACATATATCAACATTTTGAGTAAGTAGTATATGTAACTGTATACATTTGAGTGTACATTTGTTGTATTTGTGTGTAGTTTCAATGTGTGTTACCGGTGTGTTGCCACTGGAAAAAGTTGTTCCTCAGGCTGAGTGGCCTTCGGAGTACAAAGACCATGGCTGTGTTCCATCGGAAGTTCTCAGTCGCCAGAGGTTGACGAATCGTGGGGAGGCGAGGTTGCGAAACAGAAATCTCGTCTCGTGTCGATGCACTGCGAGAATGTGTTGATTCACAGTGTCACTGTGGGGTTTGGCGATGGTGAAAGATGTGAAAAGCAACACCTTGTGAGGAAGCTGACGCAGACTGGATGGCTAGAAGGATGGGGCTGGGTGGACAGGCTCCATGTTGGTCACATGGTAGAGAAATAGTGGCAACTCTCCGTGACAGTTGTGGCAACTCTCCACACTGATTAGTCAGACTCCTCTTTGACCCCCTCAGCCTCCAAGGACCACAGCAGAGAAGCAGCAGGCTGGGGGATTATTGCGATGAACGGGGGCTGTTCGCCAAGCACCTACAGTTGACTGCGCGAGACGCAAACGATTTGTCAGGTGAAGCTGCTTCCAAGCTCTCAGCATTTCCTCTCTGAGGGCCGAACACCCCTGCACCGCGCGGCGAAGCAGGGGCGATTAGAAGTGATATTGGCGCTGTTGGAGGCGCAGTGCGAGCGCTTTTGAAACACGTGGGGCAGAACAGGACGAATATCAGCAGCGACTTTAGGGAATACCATTTTGCGAAGGACTTGCGTTTGGCTTGACCAATTTAGAGAGTTCGAGTGCAGTGGCACTTGAATCTTATATATATATATATGTCTGCTGAGTTGCGCCAGGGCCACGGGCTGGTCAATGTCAACGCGAAGGACTTGCAAATACTCTCAGTCTCCAGTGTTCTTAGTTTGACTGATTCTGTGGTTTGTTACAAACGGTTTTGCTAGAATAAATGGCGAGTTGACAGAGTAGTAAAACAACACGCATCGCATTCAGGTGGGACGCAAGCACTGAAACATATTATACAACATTACACATATAATATATATATAGTGTTTGTAAGAAAACCGCATATTTGGGAGGGGGGGCAGGTCGGCTGCCAAATCCAACATACAAGCTATTGATAAATGAAGTTCGAGAGACTCAGCGTTTCGCAAGCCTTCTGTAGCTGATGGACTCACGAGTGCGACTGCATCTTACTGCATTGTCACATATTGTCGCTGCATTGTTCTTTAGGATCGTACAGCATATTGGAGCCCCATTTTCAGATCCATCCTGACTTTGATGCTGCCATGTCAATCCGTTACTGTGCAGAGACCTTGTGAGGGTGCAGGTGTTTTCCCAATCTATATCCTCAAACATATCAATTAATAGTATTAATACAACGAGACACAGTGCTTGACTGTACATAATCTAAGCAGTCAGTATCAGAGTGACAATATATTATATACTTGAAGCCCTTCAGATACAATGTGTCAAAGATGTTGCAGAACAAAAAGACATTTGACGACTGAGATTCCAGGACATTCACGGCTGCACATGCCTGCACTACGCAGCTAAAGAAGGTGGGGAAATTACTGGTGGAACATTTTGGACCGCGGACTGGGGTAGATCCTTCTGAAGGGAGGCAAATCCGGGGCTTCCGGGCTTCCGAGTTTTTTGATCTATTAGAAACAAGAAGCTACTAGTAACAAGTGCATCGCTACTAGTAACAAGTGCCTTACTAGTAGTAACAAGAAAGCTAGTAGTAACAAGTGCCACGCGAGTAGTAACAGGTGCCTTACTAGTAGTAACAAGAAAGCTAGTAGTAA